CAGGAGGTAAGTTTTACTATGCATCCCCAACACAGATGCGGCATTTTGTCGTGGAGAGGAAGTTAAGTGAGTTACCCAGATCCAGACGCGTGATGGAGTCTGGCTCCAGTCTACCCTCCTGTGTTTACAAGAATACCTTGGACACTTTGTTTAGCCCTTAGTGAGGGTCATGGTTTTCAGGATGGCAACTTCTGTAGGCTTGAAGCGGTGCCTTTGGTTTCATTAGATCTTTTCATAGAGTTTGCACAGAAATGATGTCTACTGGAGTCAAGTAGGGACCTGGTCAAGGACATAAACATGTCCTGACAGGAGGAGGACAGAGTGCTGTGGAAGCTCAGTCCGGGGAGAGCTGCTTTCTTTGGGGACAGGGACGTTTTGTAGTGCATGAGAGTTTGTGGCATTCTTAGAAAATGCCATCTCAACAGAAGTAAATGAGAAAATGCAGGGTATTTATAGAAAGCTAGAGGCCTGGTGCATGAAATTTGTGCATGGGTAAGGTCTTAGGCCTGACCAGCGATCAGTGCTGATGGGGGCCTCTGGCTGCCAGCTGGGGCCTGCCTTCACTCTGCACCACCCCTTGGTGGTCAGTGCATGTCATAGTGAGCGATCCAATTCCCGGTCTCCTGGTTGAACTCCCAAGGGGACACTTTGCATATTAGGGTTTTATATAGAGAGATAGTTAGAATTTCTGGAGCACATGGCTTGTGAAAGGAAGTGATAGAAAATAAAATGGAAAAGATCATGAAAGGTCTTGAAGACCAGAATAAAGAGTGTAGCTTATTCTGTAGAATGATCATTTTCAATGCTTTCCCACTCCCAGCAAACCTGAGAGATCTGACGCATTTCCTTTGACGCACTGGGGATAGTACGTCAGGGCTTGGGCTCAGCTTGTCGCCACTCACCATCTGTGGCAGTTTGGGCAAGGTAACCTCTCAGGGACTGTTTTCTCATCTGTAAAAGGAGACTAAGAATAGACCTACCTCAGGGGGTTTTTTAAGGAAAAAAAGAGATAATGCATCTGAAGTGCTATTATTGTTTCATTATTTTATCATAGTCATCATAGCTGTGGATTACTGGGCATTGAGTTTCTTACGGTGTCAGTGAGAAGATTAGACCATGTGGATTCTAGCATTAAGAATCCCTACCATGCCTCTGATACCGCATTCCTTGGAGTCATTCTTCTAAATGAGGAAGAATACAGTTATGTGGGGACAACATGACCATAAGTAGAATCCCAGAATAAGTGCCCGGTAGCCTAGCAAGGCAGCTTAGCCTTGTTGGCCTGGCCTTTTTGGGCAAGTAACTTCATTCTTTGGGGTCGTCTTGCTCATGCTTGTTAAAATGAGGACAATGATTTCTCTTTGCATGGTAGTTATAAATACCTAACACATAGTAGGTCCTCATGAAATGGTGTGATTATATCTTTTATATTTCGATACTTAACCAAATCCAATTCCCAGATGGCATCTGAAAGGAAAGAGCTGACCAACTAGGGGGCTTTAACAGTTTGCCTGACCTCACTCACATTCTTTTTTTCCGCTCCTCAGGATTTAAATCTGCCAGATTCCAGCTGGGAAGCAGGGATCTCTTTATTCTTTCTGTCTGACTGCTCTGCCTCTATCTCCTAATTGGTTTCTGTTTGATAGCTTGGGTTGAGAGAAAAGTGTGAAGAGAATGATAAAGGAAATGTGAGGGGACTATTTACAATTCTAATACTTTTTTTTTTTTTTTACTGTTTGTAAAAATACCTACTTTAACTTGGGGAGTTGGTTAATATGGTTACCTTAAAGTAGGAAATTGAAATACTAGGTGAATTTTTTGAAGATTACTTTTTAGCTATGTGACTGCATTTAGGTGATATAATGGTGTGATTATGCTATTGTATTATAGCTTAGATTGTAGGGTCTTAGGATTGAGACAGTTTCCTATTATTAACTCGGCATGCTTGGGCTCCAGGCGGTTCTCTACAGAAGATGCAGTGACTGTCCTGCCTCATTAGAGGCACAGCATCCTGCATCCCGTGGAGCACGTCATTGAGGAGCGGAGCTCTTTTCAGCCTGGCAAGTCGGAATAAGGAGAAGATAGGACCAGGGGAGCTGAGCCATCTCTTTCTAGCGCGTGGGATAGGATGTCCTTGCTGAGATGGCAGACATGACTTAGAGAAATTTTCACAGCACCTACAATATATTTTCACAGCACCTACAAATAATCTTACGGCGTAGCTGTGTGCAAGTGCTAATGGGGGGGGGGGGGGGAGAACATTCCTCAAATTTTTCAGCATAAAATTTTGGTTGATTGTGACCCAGAATCTTCACTCCCAAAGTACTGGCCTGAATGATTCTATAACTTAAAATTTTTAGTTATTTTAAAAAGTAAATATTTAGCACCATATGACTTTTTAATTTGAAAACTAAATAGCCACGTTAGTTCTGACTAACAAAACTAATCTGCATTGTTCTTGTGCCACCTAGGGAAATGTATTAAAATGAGACATGTTTGCATTCATTAAAAGGGATGCTTAAAGATGTCAGAGGATGATGAAACCCTCATTCAGTATCAGAAATAAAAAGACACAGTTGAATTCATTGCTATTGTAAAGAAGTTATGCTGGGATCAGACAAAATGCCTCTAAGCAGAGCAGACTCCTGATCTTAGAGGGGGTTGCAGGGAAGTGTGCGATATAATATTCTATTGTATGAATATTCCATAATTTGCCCATTTACCCATTCTTCTTCTATTGGACTTTTAGTTTATTAGTAGTGTTTTTCTATTAAAAATCAAGGCTATGAATACGTGATTCCTTGAACTCATTCTGAGGGTTTCTTTTGGACAGAAGGTCTTAACTATTTTTGTGCCACGGGCCTCTTGGGCAGCTTGGTGAATATCATGGACTCCTTCTTGTCTCACCTTCCCCCACCTGCTACCTCGCAAGCACAGTTCAGACCAAAGCAAGGATGCTTTTGTCTGAATATCAGGAGATTGACTTCCTGTTGACTGATAATCCTACATGCTGCTTAACAGACATTTAAATATTAGATGTTAGTGTATAAAGTTTCCAGTCTGGAAACTGGATTAGGGAAGCATATTTTTATAGGGGAAATAAATTCAGCCTTTGTAAGTTAGGGGTCCGGAAGAAGTGTGCTAAAGAGCTCTTTCTGGTGTTTATTTGTTTCATATTTCCAAGCAATCCTCTCCCAAAGAAATCATCTTCCTTCACACAGTACACAAGGCTGTTTGTCACTGGCGGTTAGCTGGGCATGGAGGGGAGGCTAGCACCTGGGGATGCTGATTCTAGCTCAGAGGAGGTGCTGGCCAAGAGAACCACTATTGTCCAGAGCAAATATATATTCTTGTAATTTACGTATTTATTCAACACAGCTAGAGAGTGCATAGTTAGCTGGGGCTACAAAATTGCCTTTCCCGAAGGTCTATTTACCTCTAAAAGGTTATGCATATTCATAAAAAACAAACACGATGTGAGAGAAAACACAGCTTACTCTTAGTTTGATTTTCAAGGTGTTTTCACTGTGAAAAGCATGCATTTCTGAAGTAATCATTTAGTTTTAGAGTAAGACATGTTGCGTTAAAAAGTACCTGATACTTAATGCCAATTTAAATAATTCCTTATTCACAATATTCCAAGGAAACACTGAGCCAAACCACTAGGGCTAGAAAAGTGCTCTTAAGTAATCCACTCTACCTGCTGGCTTGTCCCTAACCAGTGAATGTTAACCTCTCTAATCCTAAGTCCCTTTTACCCTTTAGGAGTTTGAAAATCACAGAATCCTTCCACTGTAAATGGATCAAAAAGGCCAACCTGTTTATCTGATCCCCAAACTCAAAACATCACAGAGGCCTTTGCCCAGGGATGCACAAAAGTAGGTTTATAGTTGTAACACAAATAAATACTACAAAATAAATGAATCATAATACAAGAATAAGCTGTGTTTATCTGTGTGCTCAACTGTAAACCTCCTTTTGCCCACCCCTGTATTCTTGATATCCTAGAAAACACACTCATTACCTTAATATTTGAATAGTCCTTTAAGATATCTTGACTCTGTCTAAATCTTTATTTACACTGAGTGGCCAGATTATTACAATCTCTGAATGCATAATAATCTGGCCACTCAGTGTGTGTGTGTGTGTGTGTGTGTGTGTGTGTGTGTGTATGGTGGCCTGCAATGAATTTGTGCATTGGTGGGATCCAGCCAGCCTGGCCAGGAGGAGATGACATGGGTGGTTGGCCGGTCTGCCTGCTGGTCGAACTCCTGGTCGAGGGGACAATTTGCATATTAGCCTTTTATTATATAGTATGTATGCTGAGTGGCCAGATTATTATGCGTTCAGAGATCATAATAATATGGCCACTCAGTGTATATAGACAGGCCATTCCTCAATGCTCTTACCTTCCGTAAGGCAGGGCATCAGGGTGGCACTCCAGGACTTGACGCCATGACCTGGTGCACCAGCCACACAGGGCCGGAATCCGGGACTTGGGGCAGTCCCATGGCATGGGAAGGGGGGGTGGACCCGGGTCTTGGGTAATTTTACACAACGGGTCACTAGTAATAAATGAATGGTCAGTTCTCCATCTTTATTTCAATCGATATACCTGCATATCAAATGTTAAATGATTCCTAATTGCCATTTTTATATTCTTCATGTATAGTCTTCCTTCGTCACAGGATTATCATATAGAAAAAACCAATGATTTGGCAGTTGCACAATTCTATTAACTATAAGGATGGTTGTGATAATTGGGGGGCTAGACAAAAAAGAGAAGAAACATGTGAAATGTTGAATAATTTTATCATAGAATTACATGAAATGTATTCTTGTGGAAGGAAAATCTTCCTGTCAGTGAGCTATTTCTTCTTTTCAAGCATGATGCTCAGATGCATGCCATTAACTTTCAGCAAGTAGTTTAGACTCATGGTCATGTTCGCCAGGCCGGGAATGTCCGGGCGCCAGGAGTAATGGCTGGTGTTCTCTTGTAGGTGTTCACCTTGCTGTGGATCGCTGACTGGATGGTCCGTCACTTCTGGAGGAAGGGAAAGGACCCCGACAGTTTCTCCATCCCCTACCTAACAGCTCTGGGGGATCTGCTCGGGACAGCGTTACTAGCCTTAAGTTTTCATTTTCTTTGGCTTATTGGAGATCGAGATGGAGATGTCGGAGACTAATCAATCCTACAAACTGCTCTCAAGTTACCGAGACGGAAAAGGCAAGATTACCGCCAATGGCTTTTTCAGAAATCTTCAATCAGTCGTGTGACTTCAGCCAGGGCACTGTGCCGTTGGCCCTGATTCCATTAAATGGCCTTAACGTTTTTCTAAAGGAAGTTGTGTCGAACCAGAATGAACAGTATTTATGCTAATTTCACACAGACATAGAATCAAGCTCAATCTCCGAAGTTAATTAAGTAGAAACAAGCCTATAGGATGTTTACAATGAATCATTTTAAAAACCACAGACACAGCAGAAATGTACTTGATTATTGTTTAACTTATAATGCCAGTTTAGAGGAGAGTTCTACTTTAACCTCTCTTGTCTTGCGGATGTGTGGTGCCTACCGCAGAGCATACCATAAAACGAAAAGGGCCCAACCACGCTTTCAGTAGTTTTCAACTATCCCCACCTCTCTGCTAGATGGGAACCATTTGCCAATACCTTACTCCTCACCTGACCTAAATAGGTCCTGCTGAGCATAAGACAAATGGACTCTGACCTGCTGCTATGAATTTCCCTGTGCCAATGCTAATTCAGTTTCATCTCTGCAAGTCCTTGGCAGCTGCCCTTGGAACACGGAATGACCTTGAGAGATCTTTCATGAAAGCAACGGGTCATTTTTGATCATTGGCTTGTTGAAAGAATGTTGATATTTTTCAGAAGACTTAATAGTCAAGAACAGGAGACAATCCAAGCTGCATTTGTAGAGACGAGAAAGTATGTGTGTGTGTGTGTGTGTGTGTGTGTGTGTGTGTGTGTGAGAGAGAGAGAGAGAGAGAGAGAGAGAGAGAGAGAGAGAGAGAGAGAGGAGGGAGGGAGAGGGAGGGAGGGGAGAGGGAGAGAGAGAGAGAGATTTTCGATGGACAACCGAATCTTGGCTTGTTGATAGCAAAAATCCTAGTGCTGTTATAATGTTAGCATTATATGGTAGTTATTCTTAAATACACTTTATTGACATACTTTTGTTATTTGGTCCAAAAATTTTGTTACTGTCCAGAATTTAGTATTTCTTATCTACGTTGTAATTGTTTCTTATTAAAACCACTGTGCTACTTAATATGTGGGATTTAGAAGGGGCAGGTGATTAATTTGTTCTTCTGAAGAAGTCTGTTGCTATTTTTAGGCACACCATTTTAAAAGAGAAGTTATGTAGTGGGTTACTTCAGTGGTTGCTCATGCCTGCACATTTTATCTGTTTGTACAGATTCATTTTTACACTGCTGAGTCTCAAACAGTTTCTAACCTCTGGTCTATATTCCAAACACTCAGTTATTCAATAGGTAAGCATTTTTCTATCACATATAGTTCATTTTTAAGACCATCAGATATCAAATAATTTAGTTGATAAAGGGAAGAAAAATGCACATTAGCTTTGATCTTCATGGTTTAGTTGTGAGTTAGTGTTAATACTATAGAAACAGTAGGTTGTTTATAAATATATTGGGGAAAGTGTTCCTATTAAACTCTTTAAAATAAGGGGACTGTGGTTTAGAGCTATATATTTTTGCTTATTTTAAAACTTTAATTATTCCATTCTTCTGCCTTATAATGAAGCTTCTAAGGCAGGGAACTGAACGAATTATAGAATTTCTCCTTTGGAGAGTTATAATGTCTTATAGCGATCATTCTTATGAAAGAAAGAATGATTAAGTTAAGCTGATGAATATTTATCTGCAAAGACTTTTATTTTAAAAAAAATCCATAAATAATTTATTTGATTTTATTGTAAAGTACTGGTAAATTACTTGTTTACATTTGCACCATGTGATTCATAAGCATTTATGTATTTTCCCAATGGTTTATATTTTGATTTTTTAATATAAAATAGTAAACAGCAAGCCACATTGTTTTAAAGATTGATTTTTGGAGAGAGGAAGGAAGAGAGACAGAGAGAGAAAGAAACATCGATGTGAGAGAGAAACATCAATTGGTTGCTTGAACCCGCAACTAAGTATGTGCCCTGACTCGGAATCAAACCCACCACCTCTTGGTGTACGTCCAACCAACTGAACCACATTGGCCAGGGCCAGGAAACCACATTTTTAAAGCATTTATCAACAACCGTAGTACATTGACAGTACCTGTGACATAGGTCAGGTAGGTCTTTCTTTCTCTGGATTATAGCAAAAGAAACGGAAACTCAGAGAAGCTACATTTACGTGGCTGCGAAGTGACCAGATTGTGACCAAAGACAAGGTGTCCAATCTCCTGAGCCAGTACTCTTCCTATGACCCTCTCCCCCTCCCCCCCAAATGCACCAGGAGCACCTTCCTGATTCCCCGGGAGGAGAGCAGTGGAGACGCAGGGCTGGCCATAGCACAGAGCATTGCTGCTGCTTTTAGATCTCAGGCAGGGAGACCTCCATATAATGTGTCTTGCTGGTCAGTGTACCAACTGTGAATTATTCATGTTCCTAAGCCCTAGGAAAACACAGATAAATAAAAACGGTAGAATAAAAAAGAACAATGCCTTATTCCATAGAACATTTCATTGCTACCACCCTTCCCAGGTGCAGTCATTCTAGATAGACAATGAGAAAGAACTAGGATGACTGACTTATAGCTCCTTTCTCAACCTTGGTTACAGCAACAAAACGTCTAATAGGCATATGATAAAAAATAAACGTGGAAAAAATCAGTCATCAATTAACTGGATTAATTTATAAGAGGGATGTAGATTCCTCTGAAACATTTTACTGTTTTCTGAAAGCCTTTAGATAAATATGCAAATGCTAAGATGACCTATTTACCCACAAAAATAATTTATCAGTCTTAAATAATGTGAATTCACAGTATTTTTATACAATATAAAAACTCCTGCTTTCCAAACTTCTTCCTTTCACTAATCTACCAGGCACTTTATTTACGCACAGATAATTTTTTTAAAACATTTTTTATTCTTGGTTACCAACCATTTTTTTTTTTTTTTTCTTAAAAAACTCATTTCTCAGAACATGATAAAATGGGAACTTAGGGTAATGTATCTTCTGGAAGACATCAAAATTCCGCATCGAGACTATCGGTGATGTAGCCAAATGAAGTATATTTTAAAAAGTCTTTCAGTATTTGGGCTTCTTTGCCATATAATATATCTGTGGTATGGTAGTCTACCCATTTATTATGGGCATCTTCCTTCCTTGAATTGTTGTAAACCCAAATAAGAATAAAATGGAAGAAATACCCATCCTGTTGTATGTATATTTTTTAATAAACTACATGTGTGGAACTCACCCAGAAGAGAGTGGGGCGATCTATGTATATATCTTGTATGTATGAGTATAATGTATTGGCTTTGACCATACCTAAATCTCCAATCTATTGCTTTGTCACTGATTTCTCTGTTTTATGCACTCTTCTCACTTTGCAGCTTAGATTCCCAGGTTCATCAATCCATACATCCTCCCCTACCACCTTCATCATGACTGGACAGCTCTGGTTAGACATAGCTCTCACCGATGCTTTACCTGCCCGTGAGCAGCTGAATGTGGCTGGTGAAAAACAGACCTTTCAGTGTATAACCTCAGACATCAAGTTACCCCTCGACTATCTAGCAGCCGGCTGTATTTCTCTAATCCAGCGGTCGCCAACCTTTCAGACCTCACGGACCAGTGTTCCGGAACCACCGGTTGGCTACTGCTGCTCTAACCACTGTGCTCTCTGAGATGTCAGGCTTTTGTCCCTACCTCTCAGCTGAAAGTATTCCTGTCAAAGTCATCTATAGTCTCCATGTTGGCGAATCCATTGATCAATTCTCAATAAGAATTCTCATCGGCCTTTTGCTTTGTTTTCTACACCCCCTGGAGGCCCCTTCTCTGCCTTGTGGTGGTTCCTTCTCAATCTCTAAATGTTGGAATGTTTTTATTACCTATGCTCTACTTTTTCTCCCCAGATTACCTAACCCATCTCATTGTTTCAAATATTCTCAAGTTTATTTCTCCACTCCAGACCTCTCACCCGAGTTCTAGATGTGTATTTCCAAATGCTTGCTGGACAGTTCCACTTGAGTGACTACTAGGTATGCCAAACATTTGAACAATGCTGTCAACCACTTTGACCTAACTGATACATAGACTGCCATATCCAACAACTGCAGAACACACAGTAAGGGCTAATCTCAATATGTAAAGAACAAATATAAATCAGGAAGAAAAAGGCCAATAACAAAATAATAAAATAACCAAAGACAGATGATTCATTAAAAAAAAAGAGAAAGATGCTCAGAACTACTCAGATGGAAAGAAATGCTAATTAAAATCACACTGAGATACCATTTCTCACTATCAATTTGGCAGAAATTCAAAATGGGATAAAACATTTTCTTGGCAAGGCTGTAGGGAATCAGATGGAATTGATGGTGGTAAATGATAAACTTACCACAATAAGAGCTCTGTAGAGGGGAGTCTGAGCATATCTGCCACAATGATACGTGCATTTATCATTCGGTCCTGTAGTCCCACTATTTGCACCATTCAGTCCAATCCAGTGAAGCCTCTGCCTGCGGCCCTCTGCCACATGCAATGGTTGGGATCCAGCCAGCGGACTAAATCCAGCTCACTGCCTGTTTCTGTAAATAACGTCTTATTAGAATGTGGTGTGCCCATTTGGTTACATTTGCCATTGGCTGCTCTCTTCTACAACGGCAGAACCGAGAAAGAGACCACACAGCCTGCAAAGCCTGAAGTATCCACTGTCTGGCTCGTTACATACGCAAAAGTTCACACACCTGTGAATTCTTCCAATTTTATTTCTAAGCCTTCCTCGGGTACCTGGGACTAGAACCTGGTTCAGCAGCCACTCTTCTGTGATTGGCCCTCCCAGTTGGTGATCCTGCATGGACTCCGTCTGCAAAAAAGCAACCACCGTGCCGGGTAGTTTTGTCCAATGCCTGGGACCAGCCAAGCAGATGGTGAGCCCAGTTCCTGTTCCTCTCCTCTAAATTAGGGGTCAGCCTTGTGTGGGGTCATCCAGATGCCTAGTACCTGTTTCTCCAATTTAGGGGTCATCCTTGTGTGGGGTCAATCAGATGCCCCTAGGAAGCCAGACTCCTGTCCGTGGGGCAGTCCCTGGACTTATGTCTGGCCCCAGTTCCCCGAGGCAACGTGGAAAGCCGATCATTCTCCCTGGTGAGAATACCAATAGGTTTCCTGGATGGTGCTGACGTGTTGATTAGGAGTGACACGTTAGACAGAGGACAAGCGCAGAGCTTCCGGCCACTGAATCCACAGCTCACCCCTGCTCTCCAGCCCAGACTCTGTTGATAGCATTTTGACTGCGGTGTTGTCTCTGATCTAGCATCCAAGTGTGGCAGGCATCCTTTCCCCTGGGCACCCTGTCAGTTTCACCCTAGAAGGTCTCCCTACCCTCTTGCAGGCTCCGTGCCAGGTGCCAGGCAGCCCTCTGGGCGGGCACCCACTTCTTCCTCCTCGGAAGGCTTAAGGACCACTCTTCTGTGATTGGCCCTCCCAGCTGGTATCCTCTCTTCCCTCCAATTGGTATGGTGATGTCTGACCTCTATGGTGAGGTCAGTCTTAAATTGCATTGGACAAGGAACAGCCATTCATTGTATGGATGGGACCATTCTTCTCACTATGCTCCTGGGCCCTGGCCCAGCCTCCCCACTGGTGACAGTGTGTGTGTTAGGCAGAGATTGTTGAAGGAAAAAAATTCAAGAACCCTTGTTAAGATGGTAAGGTGGACTTTATTCAGGATTGTCACGAATGGTGTAGGGACCACTGCAATGGGATTCTGCAGTGGGGAGAGACATGGGGCTCAACTCCAAATGCAGAGTGGACCTGTGGGAATTATAGCCAAATATCGGGGTGGGGTGAGTGCATGGAAAATGACTATGAAGAAACAGCAGAGGTAAAGACCATTCTGGCTAAGTTGGCCTGACAGGATTCTTCGCTAAAGACAGGCCAGGGTGCTCAGACGTGGCTTGGGGGTGGAGGATGAAGAAGATGATCAGATATTGAGAGTGTTCAGGTTCAAGGGTGAGGGTGCTGGTTAACCTGACTCAGGAGCGTTCTTGCTAGGAGTGGGTTTTACAGGAAGTTTAAGGGACCTGACCAGCATTGGAATCTGTCAGCAAGCACTGAAAGAAATCACATCCGGAAATGCAGGGACCACAGCCCAGAAGTTCAAGACGGGACATGGATGCAGCGTGTTAGTCTATATTTACACTAGAGAATTCCAAACAGTAAAGTTAACATGATGAGAAAAATTATCCTCCCCTTTTCCTACACACTTTCTGGTAATATTAGCATTTTTGTCTTCCATAACGAAGTACAGTAACAAGCTTTGAGAGAGTCATTGGAAGTCAGTATTCATGGGATGGGGGCGGTGAGGGGGGAGAAGGCTGGGAGTTGGTGGCGGGTTCTGAGGTGGATGATGCAACATGAGCAGCAATAGATACAGTATTAGTTAAGTGGTGTTAGGGAACTGCAGAGACCAGAAAATCTATCGTTTCAATACAAATAGGTTCTGGAGAGCCAGGGCGTTGCAAGTCATCACAGTTCTGCTATCTCTATCCTAACAGTGGGAGAGAGTCGCCGGGAATGGCGTATTGGACAATAAATAATAACACAGCCGATTGTGCTTGGGCACAAGGAAGAATCTTTGTTTGCCTTTCCTGGACAATCAACAAATATATAGGCTCCTCTTTTCTACTCGTCTTATTAAATCTCCCTTGGATATTAAAGGAAGACATGACCCAGGGGGCTGCCACGCTCGAAGCTGTTTGGGGAACACGAGAAAGACCCATCCAGCGAGGTCCCTCAGCCAGCCACGCAGTCCAGCTCCTCCGGGCAGAAAACTAATGGACTTGTGTCAGGCCTGACGTCCAGTCAGCTGAGGCCAAGTAAGGGCAGGGACACAGGGTAATTGGATCGCGTCTTCCTCTCACCAAGCAAAGTAGGCAGAGGAGATGATTGTCACCTCTGAAGTGACCACATACCGGTCTGCACATCAGGGGGAAGGTGTCCCGAAAGGCCATGTTATCAGCTGCTAAGAATGGGTCAGAAAACCACCTTTGTCTTAGGCCTTAGGCTTAGGCAATACCGTAAGCAGGCACCTTGAGGAGTGAAAAAGACTCAGGTGATATTTTTCTTTTTTTTAAATATATTTTATTGATTTTTTACAGAGAGGAAGGGAGAGAGCTAGAGAGCTAGAAACGTCGATGAGAGAGAAACATCGACCAGCTGCCTCTTGCACACCCCCCACCTGGGATGTGCCCGCAACCAAGGTACATGCCCTTGACCGGAATCGAACCCGGGACCTTCCAGTCCACCACTGAGCCAAACTGGTTTCAGCTCAGGTGATTGTTTTCAATGGTAACTCTCCAGCGGCCTCCAGGTTGCTTAGGAAGCAGGATACACTTAGATGGAGTTTGGCCAAACCTCTTTTCCCAGTGTATCAAAACGAGGGTTTTATTCAGTAAAACAGGCTGGACACAGCTTCAGAAACTCCTCCTGGGATGCAATCTAACTCGGTTGAGTTGTATTTCTGCAGCAGCTCTGGGCCCAGGGCTGGGCAGATAGTCAAGTCCCAAGTGGATAAAACTATAGCCTTTCATGGTGATTTCTGGAAGTTTTCCACCCCAAGGCAGTGATCAGGTAGCTTCAGAATCTAAGAATCCTTGGTCTTGGCAGTCTACTTCTCTTGATGGCTCAGCAGTTGGTTTTCATATCATTGAGGCATTTCCATCACACATAGAATAAATGTGTGTGTGTGTGTGTGTGTGTGTGTGTGTGTGTGCCTTGTGCACAGGTACATGTATGCTGCTTGCACCTGGCTGTCGAGCCTGCGCTCAATGCTGTGATTTGCAGTTGATGGTGTGTATCGGCACCAGGAGCGCAGAGAGTTTATGCCAGTTAGTTTATGCCAGGTAATGCCTGTGGTTTTTCAGCAGTTCCTCTGAACAGGGGACTTGGTTGCTGGCGCCATAAGTCAACATGCATGATGCATTCATTGCAAAGTGTTCTTTAAAAAAATCATTACTTGAGTTTTGATTCTCTAGTTTAGGGGTGTCGAACTCAATCAGAGAAGGGGTCAAAATCTAAAATCCAGCCTAAATCGCGGGCCGAATGGTTTACTGAACAGTCATAAACTGTCATTGTGATGGAAACGCAGCGGAGTGCAGTGATGACAGCGCAGTGCGGGCCACATTGCAAGGCCTGGCGGGA